ATCAAACCCAAATCCGGATCCGAATTTGATTCGAATCCGATAAATCCGATTCGATCCGATCCGTCGGATCCGGATCGAATTCGGATCGAATCGGATTTTTTGCGGAACACTACATGATGTATTAGTATTACAGCTAATTTCATAATTTGTGAACCACTAATAAATTGTGACTGAAAAATTATTAATAATCTATGAATTATGAAATTAATTATAATTAAAGGTAATTGATCCTTTATCAAATATGAAAAATATTACTTCTTTAATATAAAATGCTAAAGTTTTTCTAATAGTGTGATATTTTACTTAATAAATAAATTTAAAAAAATATTTAGATTTTATAAATAAATATTTACTAATTTTACATTTATATATATAATTGAGGATATATATATTTTTCATAATATGCATACTATCATTTTTGATTGTAAGTTTTATAAGATTTATTGTAAATTATTTCAAATTCTTACAAAATATTTTTGCTTTGAATTAATATTTAATCTGAACTTATTTTACTAAAATGATAATATTTAGCATATAAAGTTTTTTACTATAAAACATTTATATATTCAATTTATTCAATTTGTGACATTTATTTTAGATTTCTAAAAATTCAATTTTTTAAGTTTTCAAGTATATGTACTAATAAAAGTTTTTATAAAAACTACTCAGAAAGCATATAAGCAGAAAAATTTACCTATAATCTAAGGAATGATTATTTTTTAATAAATAATTGGTTAAGTATATGTTTAAAATTTTAATAAATAATTTAATATTTTAAAGATTTAAAGCGATTAATTATTGTTTATTAGAAATTTTTATAATAAACCAAGAATTAGATTATAACTTAAGGCTTAGCCAATTATGTATTTAATATAGATTGAACGAATTCATATTTGCCACGTTATATATAAAAATTTTTTTTTGATTAAAAAATCCCCAAAATATTGCTTTTTGTTCATTTAAATTATTATTCTATCAATTATAATCACCGAAATGAAGTTAAAAGAAATTCCACGCACAGCTACTTTTGCCTGGAGCCCTGGACAACATTTACCTATAATAGCTACAGGAACTGTAGCTGGAGCTCTTGATGCTTCGTTCTCAAGTACTACCGAACTAGAATTATTTCACCTTAATCTTAATAAATCTGATTCAGGTGTAGAATTACATAGTGCTGGGGTTATCAATAGTAACGCGAGGTTTATATCATTTAATAGAAATTAACTAATGGATCGCCTGTAAAGTTTTATTCTGAAGCAAAGTCTAACCTTAATTATATTGGTATAGGTTCGATCGCCTTGTATGGGGAGTTGCAAATGATAAAGCATATGGAATTGTCGCTGCTGGTTTGGAAAATGGGGAATTAGATTTATATGATCCAGCAATAATTTTAGAGGGTGGAGAGTGAGTTAATTTTCATTGTTATGACTCTTATAGAATTTAAGTATTAGATGTAACCATTTGAAAGAATGCTGAGATAATATGTTAAATATTAGTTCACGTATTCATGTATTCATGAATATGCTTATATTTTTTATAATGATAAAGCTCTGAAGAGGCACTTATTCTAAGGAATACGACACATTCGGGAAATGTTCGTGGGTTACAATTTAACCCATTTCAAATTAATTTATTAGCATCGGCAGCAACCAATGCTGAGGTATTATAATATTCGGTCATTTGGTTATAGTTTTTAAATTAATTATCTATTCTTTAACGAACTAATTTGTTGATTTTTACCTAGATATATATTTGGGATTTAACGAAACCAGATAAACCCTACACTCCAGGCACTAGGTCGCCAAAGCTTGAAGATATTACCCACTTAGCTTGGAATAACCAAGTACAGCACATCTTGGCAACCTCTTCAAACACGGGATCTACTGTAATATGGGATTTAAGAAGTAAAAAACACGTAATGGACTTATCATTTGGCGGTTCAGTTGCAGCTGGAAATTATGGTATGGGAAACAACATGGCTCCTGGAATGGGTACAGGAGTTCGAAGAGGTACAACTGCAGTCGCTTGGAGCCCGGATAATGTAGGTTATCTTTTTTAAATTAAATAATTTAAGTATATAAAGCATATAATAATATTCTCAAATAACCCAAAGGCCACACAAATTATAACCGCATCCGAAGATGACATGAATCCTGTGATTGTTATTTGGGATGTCCGTAACGCTCATGCTCCTGAAAAGGTATAGTGAAGTTATTACATGTCCTTTGTATCTATGTGTTTGTAAATTTACTCATTATTGCTTATATAATTTATAGATTTTGACAGGTCATCAGAAGGGAGTTTTATCACTTTCATGGTGTCAAAGGGATGCTGATTTGTTATTATCATGTGGCAAAGATAATAGAGTTTTGTGTTGGAATCCTAGAACTGCTGAAATAATAGGAGAGGTAGTTTATCCGTTTAATATTTCTCATCACTTGAGCAATAATGACATTATTTTGATTTTTATAGCTTCCTGCAAGTTCGAATTGGGTCTTTGACGTTCAATGGTGTCCCGGTAACCCCGATTTATTTGCTTCCGCCTCTTTTGATGGCAAGGTATTTAATTTTTAAGAGGTAATTAATTAAGCTTTTTAAATTATTAAGAACTAATATATGTAATGTATATTATAAATTTAAAGATAAGTGTACATTCTTTACAATCCGGTCAAAGTAGAGATGGACAGCAAGTTTTATTAGATAACAATGACCCATTTGCACAGATAGCATCATCATATGAACCTTCTCTCACACTTAAGCAACCTCCAAAATGGCTTAAACGACCTGTCGGAGTAACTTTTGGATTTGGTGGCAAATTAGTGTCGTTTAATAATAAAGTTGCCATAGGTGCCGCTACTCAGATAAGACGTATCGTTACTATTTCAACAGTATTTACTGAACCCGAGATTATTCAAAGATCAAATGAACTCGAATCTTCAATCGAATCAAAATCTTTAGATAGATTTTGTGAAAGTCGAAGCAAAAGTGCGCCTAATGAATTGGAATCCGAAAATTGGAAAATACTTCACACAATGTTTAATGAGAATGAAAATGCAAGAGAACAATTAGTTAAACATCTTGGTTTCTTAAAATCTGATATAGTTACGCAAATATCTACTGCAATAACGAATATGAATATAAACGGTTCTGTGAATTTTGAAACACAATCAAGTGTTTCAGAGGCAGTAAATGAAGTCCATGGTATTGCGGATCAATCCGTTGTCAAATCTGAGAATATAGAAGAACTTTTTTCTGGTCCATCTACATCTGCCGATGCTTCGGAATTCTTTAATTCCGAAATTATTTCTGATTCGTTCCCTGTTCATAGTCCCACCTCAACTTATAAAGAGCAAACATCATCTTCATCTATAAATAAGGGAATTTTTAAAATATATCCTGCTCAAGAATCAGATGTGGATAAGCTTATTACGAGATCTATTGTTCTTGGTGATTTTGAATCGGCTGTGAATTTATGTTTAGAGTCGGATCGATTATCAGACGCTGTCCTTTTAGCTGGTTGTGGCGGCCCTGAACTTTTACAACGTACCAGGAAAATATATTTTGAAAGAAAGGCTTCTAATATCCCTTACTTGCGTTTGCTTCAAAGTATTGTATCTGAGGATTTATCGGACATTGTATATAATGCAGATTTATCCGAATGGCAAGAAATAGTAGTCGTTCTTTGTACGTTTGCACGTTCCGAAGACTTTGGCGGATTATGTAATGCGTTAGGTCAAAGACTTGAACAAGAATCTGGAGCTGATTCAAATGATAAGTCAAAAGGGGCGGAGTTTCGGAAGAATGCAGTATTATGTTACCTTGCGGCAGGAAACCTTGAAAATGTGGTTAAAATTTGGATTTCCGAGCAGGAAGAAGAGGAACAAGCTGAACTAAAAGATGCTAATCAGGATGATACTAAATCTTCTAGTTCTAGATATTCATTCCATGCCAAAACTCTTCAAAGTCTCATCGAAAAGGTTACTGTATTCCGTAAGGCCATAGATTATGTTGACTCTGATTTGGTTCAGAATTTGGACGATAATACTACAGAATCAAATAATAGAATGTTTAAATTGGCTAAGTTATATGACAAATATGCTGAGTATGTTGAGATCTTAGTAGCTCAAGGTAGACTGGCGACTGCTCTTAAATATTTAAATTTAACGCCATTGGAGTACAAAAAAGCGGGTGTGAATGATGTCGATCCGTTAGCTGCGATAAGAGAAAGGTTATATCATTCAGGAGTTGATGTTAGTAGTATTAAAGTACCACCAGCGTTTCCATTTGAACAATTTTATGTTGGAGCTGAAGGTGAAGCAGACCATGCACTTGCTGCTACGGAGCAACCCCAGAAATTACCATATAATCAATATGCATATAATGCTCCAATCCAAAACCAAACAGGTTATCCTTACCCGCAGCCTGCTTTTCCTGTTCATGAACATGCAAATTTTGCTGCTACGGAACAACCCCAGAAATTGCAATATAATCAATATGCATATAATGCTCCAATCCAAAACCAACCAGTTTATCCTTACCCGCAACCTGCTTTTCCAGTTTATGAACATGCAAATTTAATTCCACCCCCACCTCCACCAATTGCCAATACAAATCTTCAAAATACAAATCCCTCTCCACAAGCAGATGTTCCGGCTGTATATAATAAGAATTTGTCCAATTGGAATGATCCGCCAACTGTATCATCAGCTCAGGCAGCAAAAAAGACTATTCAAGCACAAGCAAACAAGCCATTGCCCATCATAACTCCTTTCCCTTCAGCAATTTCTCCTGCTCCACAAGGAACAATACCACCACCCGGAGTTCACGGTCCAAATCAGAATATACAGGGAGCTACTAATTTGCAACCACCACCACCACCAGTAAATCGTGTAGCACCCATAATTGCTGGGTATCAACCTAATTTCCAGATGTCTCCCCAAACAGCAGGAAATTATTATCCACCACCACCACCACAACAAACAAGAGCGTCACCACAATCACATGCACAACAAATGCAGTATTATGGAGCTGACCGTTCAACTCCCACTCCACCTCAAGTTGGTGGATATGGAGATCATCAAACCCCAGTCGCACAACCCGCCAGAACACCTACTCCAGCGAAGACTCCTACACCCGTAAATAAACATCGTAAGCTTATTTAATAATACATCATTACCATATTTAGATACATTTAATATATTTTTATTATTTTTATTCAAATAATTTAGCTGCTGGTGATAGAACTCATATTCCAGTTACACATAAACCAATTTACGATGTACTCTCTCGTGAATTACAAAGAACTAAACAATATTATAATGCTGTATGTCATGAATTTAGGATTTTGATGGTTTGCGTGATAATAATTTTTTTTAATAATAATATTTGTAATAATGTAGGGAATACAAGCTAGACAATTAATTGACATAGAAAAACGACTTAATGTGCTATTTGACCAATTGAATAACGAAGAAATTTCAAATCAGATAATTGCGGATATTTTAAAATTAGTTCAAGGTTTATATTTATGTTATAAATAAGACAATTTATGCTTAATTAACTATATTTTAATCAAAATTTTATTATTATGATCATTATTTTTAGAAATAGAAAGACGTGATTATGTTACTGCACAAAATACCTTAATTCATATAATGACTTCACATTCCAGTGAATCAAGATGGTAAGTACCAATGTTTTTTATTTTACTTTATTATTAAATTCTGTTCTAAGTTTTATCAATTTACAGGCTAGTTGGAATTAAACAATTATTGAGTTTGAGTAAAAACGTACAATAATTTATTTTACATCAAATTTCAAAAATTTGAAATTATGATGTTTAAAGATATATAATATAAAAGTTATAATTGTGTTTTTTCGTTAACTAATTAATATGGATACTTCTACAAAAAAATCAAATTCTTTTGATTTAATCATTAATTTATATTTGGGGAGAATGTAAAAACAAAATAAAATAAAATAATTGAAATAAATTTAAAAATCTGCTCGATCATGAAAGAAACTTTTTTTATTAAAAAATTAAAAGCAAATTCATTGTCTTGACATATTTATATTGATTTTAATGGTTCATTATTTAATAAAATATATATATATATATATATATAAAAAAAAGGAAAAAAAAAAGACTAAAAAAGAAAAGAAAATTATATAAAAAGCAATAATAATAATAATTAATCAAACTGCAACTTAGTCAACCCATCAACATTTAATTCACGTTTTTAATCTAATACATCGAAAAAAAAGAGCAATATAGTAACCAAATAAAAAATATTATATATTGCTCGTTAAGGAATTATTTGACGTTTATAATAACTATTGGTATTAAATAGCAAGATAAATTACCCAGAAGTTATTTATGCATCTCCAAAAGTATTTTCACCAGAGTATCTGTTGAGATAAAATCCCAAAGATTAGCTACTTTAATAGAATGCTGCGGGTCAATGATTGAAAAAGTAAAATTACTTACGTTATGTATAGAAATCCGTCTTCGTCTTTATGCTCTTCATAAATACTCGACATAAGAGCAGCTGTAGGAGGAAGAACTTCGTCCACAAAAATAAAGATCGCTTTCTCGGGGCTCAATTTAATACGTTTACGAATAACATATACAAATTGGCCTACAGTAAGATCAGCTGGTACGAGGTACTTCTTTTTATCAATTGTGGCAATGTCGGATTTTTCAACTTTTTCACAGATAACCTGATTTAAAAGTAAATTACATTTATTGAATAAATGTTTCACGTATAAATAATTTGAAGTATTTTAAATTAATTTTTAGTGTTGGCAACTAGTTTGCACTCGTTAAAAACAAATGCTTACCGGAATTCTGTCAGGATATTTTTGTCGAATCCTTTCCGCTTCAGCCTTACGTTTTTCTATTCAAAAGAGAAAGAAAACATATATAGATATTTATATATACATATTCGTTGTTCATTTTCAAAACAATAGGAAAATTAGTTAATAACACATACCAAAGGGATGTTCATCCTTAAATTTTGACCTCATATTTGTTATTATTTTGTTTTAATAATATGGAACAAATAGGACAATTAAAAAAAGTGTTTTGAAAAAAAAAAAAATAGGGTAAAGGATTTTAAGGTATTTTTATAGGGAAAAGACGATGCTTCCAGATGAGATAATAAATGATTGGATGAATCGGATAAACCGCAGTTTTTATAATTATGATATATGTTAACGTTAAGCTTCGGTCACTAATTATCATCAAATCAGGTAATACAAGCTTGCGTAATCCTCCTTTTCTTTTACTTTTTTCTTCATTAAAAAAGTCCTATGACTAATCAAATATGACTCATAGAGTAACCCGAACCGCTGCGGTAATAATTCTGCGGATTATATCATCGCACATTCAAAAAAAAACGTGATCCGCAAATTTCGAGATTCATTACATTTCTAACCAAAAAATATACTCATTATAATATAAATCTCATTAAAATATTTATTATATATAACTTTTGTGTTTTAATGTTTAATTACTGTGCAATTGTCAACAAGTAAAAGAAAAATGCGCATGACAAAAAAAAAAAAGTTTTTTAAAAAAAATAAAAAATTAAAATAATCAAAATTCTCATACCTAAAATTATTATTCCAATGAAAACAATTAAAATATTAAATTTTTTTATAACTTCAACTTGTACGCTTCCTTTTCCTACCACGGAATTCGGATAATGACGACGATGATGAACTTCTTGATCCAGAAGATCCACTTGAAGAGCTTGAATCACTACCACTATTCGAATTTGAGCTATAACTTGATGATGATGCTGATGTGTTACTATCACTATCGCTAAGGGATCCTGAGCTATCTGAGTCGTCCGAAGACGATGATGATCTTTGAAAATCAAAATATTGAATTTAAAATTTGTTTAAATATACATATTTTTCTTTTTAAACAAAATAAAAAAATTTTCGAAAATTAACGTACTCATGCTTGCGAAGTCTTTTCTTTTTTCTTTCCTTTTCCTTTTCCTTTTCCTTCTCCTTTTCCATTTCCTTTTCTTTTTCCATTTCCTTCTCTTTCTCTAATAATGCTTTTTCAGTAAGTTCTTTCCTGCTCAGTTAATAATGAATTAAAATTAGTAAATTGATCCTATTTTACATAATTAATTATTCATAAGAATTTTATTTTATTTACTTTGTTTTAAATGCATCTGGAAGTTCAATTGATATCGGTTTTAAAGGTTTTGTGAGTTGTTGTGTTCTTGTTGGTCGAGAACTATATGCTCGTTGGTTTTTACATTCATATGTCTATAAAGTCCAGAATTAAAATTAATACAAATTAAAAGTTTTATCAAGTAACACCGAAAATCTACTTAAATGTTTTACCCAATGTCCAGTTTGTAGGCATTTTTGACATTTTGTGTTAGGCGAAGGCTTTGACCCTGTACTAGGATACCTTTTATAACAAATCAAGCAATTAAAAAAATTCCATTATTTGTGTAATAGCTTTATGATTTAAGACTTTACCTACGTCCGGGAAATACAGATTTCTCCATAACTTTTAGTTTCTATACCTACAAAATAGATGATAAGAAACTTTGATTTTTGTTTATGAAATTGTGGAAATAAAGTGAAATCGTGAAACGTTACATTGCAGATAACTTTACTGCGGTTTTCAAAATTATGATTAGTAGATCGGCGGTGATTTCTTGATTTCTACCGAAGTGTATCATCTGACTTTTGTGATAGTGGATTATTTTCTATAATAAATTATTTCAGAACCGTACCAATATTATACGCCGTGAATTCTACAGAATTTAGTGAATTATGTTTGCCAAAACTAAATTTATGAAGGTTTGGAAGTTTCTTTTTTATTTAAGTATATTTTTGATTTTAGTGGACATATTAATATATTAATTAATATATAATATGTCCGCTTATCTCTTTTTTAAGGTTTTTTCTTTTGTTATGAAGTTTCGTAAAATTGGCGATGCAATTATTTTGATTGCTTCAAAACAACCATGTAGCATATATAAAAAAGATACCTTATGGCATTTTCTACCCTTTGTAATTTTATAAAAATCTATGGTTAATTTATCTGTTGAAAAAAGAGCTAGGATTTGTATCTTATTTGAAGAAAGTTATCCCTTCCGCTATATAGCAACCAAGGAAAATATTTTCCAATCAACTGTAATAAGAACCAAGCAATATAAAGATAAAACTGATAACTTTAATGACCAGCCTAAATCTGGACGTCTGCAACTCTTAACTGTCAATATGAATGAAAAGTTCTAAGACTAATGCTATTGCAATTTAAAAAAACTAAAAACAGAAGAACAAATTGAAGTTAGTGAATATACAATCAAGAGGATTTACATAGAAATGGAATGAATGCAAGAGTTAAGTGTAAAAAGCCATACTTTCAAAAAAACATAGAATTGTATATGAAATTTGCTAAAAAATACAAATCATAGACAGCAGAGAATTAGAATAAAGTTATTTAGTCAGATAAGTTAAAATTCATAATTTATGGGTTGGATGGTAGAGAATATTATTGGAAAAAACCAAATGAATTATTATATGATCATCATGTTAAACCAACAGTTAAATTTAGGTGTGGTAATATTATATAGTATGGGGATGCTTTACTTCTGGTAAAGTTGGTAACGTATGCTGAATTTATGAGTATATAAATGGTGATTTATATTATCAAATTTGAAGGAAGATCTTTTAGAAACCATTGAATAGTATAGAATAGATAAAGATAATATTATCTGTTAACAAGATAATGATCCTAAACATATTGCAAACCTTATTAAGCAATGGTTTGAAAACAATAGGATTAAAGTTTTTGATTGATTAGCATAGTCTTTTGACTTAAACCCAATAGAATACCTTTGGAATAAAATGGATTACCTGTTAAAACACAGGATCAGTTATGAATTGTAATTCAATTGAATTAAGATCTGATATAATAAGTTGGTTAATATTATACCAACTTGTATAAATAATATAATTAAAACTAATAGTGGTTATATAAAATAATAGATAATTATTTATCAAAGTTTTAATGCAATTGAGTTAATTTTGCTTTTTTTTTATTTACATAAAAAAATTAATCAAAAATTAATCAAAAGAAAAGAATCGTGTAAATGATTAAAATCAAGTATTTAAAAATTTTTTTATCATATTATTATGCAATAATTTTTATATTATTGAATATAATAAATTTAATAAATAATTTTGGTAATGTTGTGCCTTCTTAATTATAAGATAATGCTATTTTAAATTTGTATTTAAATGATGCAATACTTTTAAATGCCACTGTATATAGATTAATATATAATAGAATATTATAGTCTATTTGGTTATATATTAGTTAACCAGAGTATGATAGACTAATATATACTAAAAGTTTATCCTTTATTATCTTACTTTTATGCCTTAAAAAGATTACTATAAATTACCAAAAAAAAATAGATGTTAGATAACATAGTAAATCTGCAGTGCAATTTTGGCTGGCTTTATGATATAATTTTAGTTAATTTTTAGAGTATATGATTTGAGAATCCACCTTGATGATATGGTAGCATTATAGTAATATTATAAAACTGTTAAGGAGTTAGTATTAGTTGAAATCATTTCTTTCAACATTAATACCTTTCAGTAAAAATTCAGCTGATTCAGTTATGTGATTTGACAAAAATTTAGCTTGAGTTACAAAAATCAATAATCATTTATTATACCATATAATTTATCATTATTTTGTCATTAGACCTTTCAATAACATTCAGCTAATTCAATCATGTGATTTAGAAAAAATTCAGCTTAAGTTATAAAAATCAATAGTAATTGTTACATCACATATAATTTAGTATTATTTCAGCATTAAGATCTTTTATCAAATATTCAGTTAATTCAGTTATATGATTTAGTAAAAATTTAGCTTGAGTTACAAAATCGATAGTAATTTATTACACTATATATAATTTAGCATTATTTTAGCCCTAATACCTTTTGGTTATAATATTCAGCAAAATTTAGTTAGACTCAAGATTTGGCAACAAATCAATTATATCTCACTAGTCAAAATCTGTTAAGCTGATTTTTGTGAAAATTATAAAAATATTTTAAGAATAATTGTCCTAAAAAGATGATATAATTGTCCTAAATGTAAAGCTTCTTGTAAGCTGAGCCAGTTCACAAGCCTCATGAGCTAGTTTACTAAAGTTCAGTTTGAGCTACTATAACATAACTTGTAAGCTAATTAAACCAGCTTGTACTGTGACTTAGCTCATGATGCAGCTCAGCTTGTTAGCTTGAATTTTTCATTTTTGAAAATACCAAATCCAGCAGATTAATTTCAAAGAATAATGTTCTAGATAACGATTTCTTTGAAGTTAAATAGTTCTAGCAATGTTTTCTTCAAAGTAAATGATTCTGGCAAAGTTTGTTTCGAAAAAAAAAGATTCTGATAACATTTCTTTAAAAATTACTTTAGGAGCATTAGTTTTAAATAATAATACTCTAGAAGCATTTTTTTAAAATTAATACTCCAGAAGTATTATTATTTAAATTTAATGCTTCAGAAGCATTTATTTAAAAGAAACCTTTTAAAAATGTTTTGTTTTTAAAATTAACGCTCTAGAAGCATTTTTTTGAAGAAATAGTTTCTGTGGCTTTTCTATTGAAAGAAATTATTTTTGGAAGCGTGTCTTTAAAAGGAATTATTTTAGAGGCATTTCTTTGAAGGGAATTATTTACAGAGGCGTTTCTATTAAAGGAATTATTTTTGTATTTTTTTCATTAAAGAAAATCACTTCTGTTCCTTTTCCTTTAATAGGAATTATTCTTAGAGACGTTTCTATTGAAGGAATCGCAACTGTAGATTTTTCTTGAATGGAATTGCTTCTGTGGCTTTTTTTGAAGGGAATCATTACCAAAGGCGTTTTTTTGAAAAAATTGCTTATGTGACTTTTCTTAGAAAGGAAAAAACCTCTGTAGTAAGGTTGTTAGACAAAATCCAGAGTTTAGATAGACATTTAAATGATAAAGGTAAAGCTTGGTTAAATTATATTAAAACCTTATTAAAAATCTGCAAAATTTAAAAAAAGGTAAAATTATATCAAAGCTTATAAAAATGGCAAAACTATATCAAACACTTAGTAAAAATTTAGCGAAACTAAAGGTTTAGACATTTAGCCAAATCCAAAATGAATTTAGACAATCAACCTTACTCTGTAGCTTTCTCTTTAAGAAAATCTCAATCTTTTTAAATAAATTTATAATATTAAGATTTATGAGGTTATTATACAAGTCTTATTAACATTTTTTTTAGATTTATTTTTTTTAGAAAATAAAAAGGCTTTTAATCCCTATAAAAAATCAAAATAAGGAAATGATACGTTTATTATAAGATTTATATACGTAATTGATGATTGTATATTATAATTCCATATGTTTTATAATGATTTTTTTTATAATTTTTTAGAAAATTGATGTATATGAAATTATTAAGGAATTTGAAATAATGTATAAATTTTACATAAAATAAAAAAATAAAAAATAACAATATTTAAACACCAAAAAATTTTTTTTCTTGACTTTGAATGTATAGATATCAAATTAAGCTTGAATATTACATTGTGATTAGTGATACTTGACGAAATTATCTTTCTTAATATGACGAAATTAACAAAACTGAAATAAAAAAACTAGTTTTTTATTAATGACA